GGAGTTGAAGTCCACTCATCTTAAAGTGGCCAAGTTTGGACAACACTGGCATACAGCTATTCTGTTACAATTCCTCCCCCCAAATCATTCCCTTTTGGTCAGTTTTGTAGGAGCAAATAGGCTAAATATAAAATCATTTAGAATACAAACTGTTCTACCACTTTGATAGAATTTGCAACCAGCATGTTTGTTTCCTTAGAATTTTCTTGATTTGTTTTTGGTAAGGAACACAATAGTTCATATTTTTATAGTATTTTGATATGCGTTCATTGCATTTGTTTAGGCATGAAAAATCTGGTAAAAAAATATGAGCTACCACATTCTGAAGAGGTTGCTGGTCTAAAACAGAAGCTAGAAAAATGTCACAGTCCAGAACTTGCTCTTAATACAAATACGTAAGTAGCAATTTAATTTTTTTTAAAATTCCTTGTATATTCTGATGACCTGATTTCTGGCCAGCATACCTTGTTTTAGGAGTAACAGAATCTGAGATTTGAGAGTTTTACTTCATCGTCTTTTGGAAATGTGGTGCATAATCCTTTAATAATTTAAAACCCAGACTCTATTCCTGGTGTTTGTCAGTATTTTACTCATGAACAAGTACAGGTTTAAACGTATAGAATAATGAGAGTGGTTTTGTGAATTATGGTGTTGGTTAGCAAACAATTTCTTGCAGCACAGTGGGTTTACATTATATGATAGACATGGATAAAGAGAAGATGCAGATATAAAAACTCAGAACATTAATTTGCCCCATTTAACAATAACATTAGAAAATGTTTTTGTATGTTACAAAAATACCTTGGATTTATAGGTATTTTTTTCAGCAACATTCCTCTACTAAGTCTGAACCATTATTTCTATAAATGAAAAAAATTGATTTTCAAGCGAATATTTTTGGATTAGATTGGGGTTGGCTTTATTCTACTGAGGGTTGTACTCTCTCAAGGTAGTCTTTTGGAAGCTGCATGATGGGGGAAATGAAACAAATAGTGGGTGGGGATGCCCACTCTTTCTCATACTCCTTCCCCCCCCCTTTTTTTCCCCCTAAGTAGCAGCCTGTAGGAAAGACTTAGATACCAAAGGTGTCTAATGATGATCTTTTACAGAAGGCTTCATGAAAGTAGTAGAAATAAGTTGTAAAGATGTATTTCCATTAATCTGAAGGTTTATTTATTGATCTGATTTTTTTCAACTTCATTAGCACCAGTCCTCTTTGCATTACTTTAATTCCACAGTTTATCAATGGAAAACATTTTCTGTATCTTACGGAAGTAGATTCGTCTACAAAAGTATATGCCTGATGAACTGCTAGCATTTTTCAGTTACCTCAGAGATGTTTTTAATTAATGGTTTTAAGGGATTTATAATGTTAGATGTGCTCTACCTGCAGAGGGAGAGTGTCCAAAGCTGGTGTGCTTCTTTTGCTACTCTCACTCACTGTTCTTTTTGCCATCTACCTGCAGAAGATCTCTGTGGATTCTCCAGGGTCCTTAATCCCTGGGAGAGCTGGAGTCCCTCAATCATCATCTCTCTTCTTTCAGAATGGCTGAATAGAGCTAGAATCAGTTGGTGTTGAATAAACCTTCTGCTCTGTTGTTAAATTATTGTATTCTTTTTAATATCAAAAAGTGAGATTGAAGAAATTAAGTTTAATAGTGGAACATATCCTCTAACATTTTCCTGCTATGGGACTGTTGATAGGAAAAAGAGGAAAGGCTATGAAGATGATGAATTCATCACAAAAAAATCCAGAATGGAGGAGGTTAGTAGATTTTATACCACCTGATTAAATTTGCATTTAAACTGTATTTTTAAAGCAAGAAGAACACTACTTGTTTTTAGATGGTATCTTTATCATGTCAGAGGCCACTTTTTCTCATGCCAATTAATTTTGAGGTTTTTTTTTTTTTAACTAAAACAAATCAAATAAGGCCACTGTTTTGTTCCTCTTATCAGAGCAAATTTCTGATAAATTTTTGTTGGTTTCATTGACTCATAAGAAATGAAGCAAGGGCTAAATTTATAAATGTCTCTGGATCCTTCACTAAAATTTCTACCTGACACCTCAGAGCACTAGCCTATAATATTTGCCACCATGCTTTCTTTTTTATCTTGCCTTTATTTTAATTTAAATTGTGGTTTTAACAGTTTTTATGTATTTTGTTTTATTATGTAGGCTGCCCAGAGTCACTGTGTGAAATGGGTGGCTATACAAATGTGATAAATAAATAAAAAATAACATATAATGGAAAGAAATGGGCAGGGCCAGCTTCTCAATACCTTGCACAGCAACTTAGGCTATAGATATTAATGTTATTAAATTAAGAAATGTATGCCTCACTTTTCCTCACCAAAACCAGAACTATTTAAAGCAATTTAACTAAATATTACAAAGTCATTAAAAATAATTTTGCCTTATTTACAAAAAGCTAAAAGTAGCAAAAAACATGGCATATAATTAAAACTAACAAACATTAAAATTAACACTGCAGCTGTCAGCCAGTTCAAATTTGCATGTTACACAAATGATTTTTACATTCAGCACATAATACTAACCTGGAATATTTAAAGAAAAAACCTATAGTTCATGTTTGTTCTACCTTAAATCCAACTGTCTGTGAAAGAAATATGAAATTAAATTTCAAGCATAACAATAAGGTCAAAATTGGAAGCTGATACTGTATTATATATTGAATTGCTGTGCAAAAATTAGTGAAGTATATATTTGTACTTTTGGTTTTGAAATGAATGTGACATTAAACACAGGTGAAACTAGAAAAATTAGAATATCGTGCAAATGTTCATTTATGTCAGTATGGCAACTCAAAAGGTGAAACCAATATATGACATAAATGAACATTTGCACGATATTCTAATTTTTCTAGTTTCACCTGTGTTTAATGACTCAGTACTTGGTTTGGGCCCCTTTTGCAGCAATGTGACATAAATGAACATTTGCACGATATTCTAATTTTTCTAGTTTCACCTGTGTTTAATGACTCAGTACTTGGTTTGGGCCCCTTTTGCAGCAATGTGACATAAATGAACATTTGCACGATATTCTAATTTTTCTAGTTTCACCTGTGTTTAATGACTCAGTACTTGGTTTGGGCCCCTTTTGCAGCAATGTGACATAAATGAACATTTGCACGATATTCTAATTTTTCTAGTTTCACCTGTGTTTAATGACTCAGTACTTGGTTTGGGCCCCTTTTGCAGCAATGTGACATAAATGAACATTTGCACGATATTCTAATTTTTCTAGTTTCACCTGTGTTTAATGACTCAGTACTTGGTTTGGGCCCCTTTTGCAGCAATGTGACATAAATGAACATTTGCACGATATTCTAATTTTTCTAGTTTCACCTGTGTTTAATGACTCAGTACTTGGTTTGGGCCCCTTTTGCAGCAATGTGACATAAATGAACATTTGCACGATATTCTAATTTTTCTAGTTTCACCTGTGTTTAATGACTCAGTACTTGGTTTGGGCCCCTTTTGCAGCAATGTGACATAAATGAACATTTGCACGATATTCTAATTTTTCTAGTTTCACCTGTGTTTAATGACTCAGTACTTGGTTTGGGCCCCTTTTGCAGCAATGTGACATAAATGAACATTTGCACGATATTCTAATTTTTCTAGTTTCACCTGTGTTTAATGATATTGGTTTCACCTTTTGAGTTGCCATACTGACATAAATGAACATTTGCACAATATTCTAATTTTTTGAGTTTCACCTGTATAAAACATGTTGGAAGAACATTGAAGTTCTGTGATACTGGTTGTAACTTATTTGAAAATACTAATGATTGTCACATTTGCTTTACATGAATAGTGACATGCATAGAATTTGCTTTTGATATTTAAAACATCAGATTTGTTAGTCTGGATCCTTGATAAATTAAGGGGAGTGTTTTTCAAAGCTGGAGTAGTTCACTCCCTTTTTCTAACAGGCTACTTATTCTTGTTTTGACAAATGTCCATGCAGGAAAAAATCCTTACATATATGATTTAGGGGTATGCTGGGACACTATTCTTTTGCAATAAATGCTTAATTTGATTTTTTTTTTTTTTTTACTTAGGATGAATGGACGGATGATGATTTCATGGACTAATCCATCTGCATTCCTAATAGAAGATGAAGTCTGAATTCTAATGAATATACTTCACTGAAAATAAAACCAGGCAACATGTATAACTTCTCACTCAGTACAAAATTATATATTTCTAATATAATAAATCTTTTTTTTTTTTTTTTTTTACAAAATGACTGGAATACTTGCATTTATTTAAATGGCATTATGACCAGGTGACTTTACACTGGACAGGGCTCATCACCGCTTTTTTTCATTGGGAATTGGCCATCAATCAAGCAACTCTAATAACCATGTTCAAACAAGGTATGAACATAGCTACATTCAAAGCGCTTCTATAAATACCTCATAGCATTATAACCCATAATTATTTCTTAAGCATTAATAATGCATGAAATACTCTCAGAATGATGCCATGCAATGATTTTAGACTGCTTTTAGTTTTTTTAAACTTTCATTTTTATAAAAATACACACCTAATGTATTGTTCTCAGAAAGTCTGATATACCAGATTTTGAAAGGTACTTAACTACTCTAGTACAACCCTTGCTTGAGGCAGAAAATGTAGCTATGTTTAGCAGAACTTTTAGGTACCATTCTGGGAGAACACTATCGTGTTACAAGGGCTACAAGTGAAATATTTTGCTTATTGTATATAATTTTGAAGCAGCTATGGAAATGGATGGAAATGTGTTACAGTATGGGAACATTGAACTTTTTTACAAGGCAGGCACAGCTGATTTGGAGAATAGATCAAATTAAATCTCCAGATTAAAGCTTTGCATTGACCTAGTAATGAAGTCAGCAAGTTATGCTTAATGTCAAGCATATAGCTGGGCGAATAGAGAGAATTAGTGTATGTACTGTTTAGCTTTGATCTACTAGGCAACTTACCCCAATGAAGGAGCATGAGAAATGTTTCAATTAAAAAAAACCAACTTCAATTATAAATACTGCTGCAATTATCTCATTTACTCCAATTACTGATTGGAGATACATTTACAATAATACATACATCTCAGCTGTACAGAATATTCTGTGCTTTTGATACAGATAAGGATGTTCTTTTGCAACTAAGATTCTTCCCTACTATGATTGCATAGTCTGCCTTAACATAATAGTGCATTTTATGAGGCATAACTCTCAAATATAGATGAAAAATGCAGAGCAATGTGAATAGCTTAGCATGATGTGTTAGCCATAGCAGATGATACATCTCCCCAAAAGGATCTCCATTATTAGCTTGCAAACCAAATACTCCTTTTGTAACCAGACCTCAGACTTTTGATAAGTAGAGAGGGACTTCTCCCTCTAAGTAATCCCGATTTAGAAATACCCTGCCTTATATTTCAGACTGTTGAAAATCAGTTTGGATAAACAACCCCAATCCAAGGTTTTCCAACATTGAGGGCTGGTGGGACTATTTTGGGATTCTAAGATAATGTTATGGCCACACTCACAAAATGTTCCCTATCCCACCTTTTAATCACCTCAGCTTGTTTGGTTTTTCTGGGAAAGTGGGCAAAGTTCCAAAGAAAGCATTGAAGTGTATCCCTTGCCCCATCTTTTTTTTAAAGAATGCCTCCAGTATATATGCAGAGCTCAGAGCACTAGGGATGTGGGGGAGATAACTTCTGCTTCAGGATACCACTTTGCAGATACCGTATTTTTCCGACAATAAGATGCCCCCAGGTACAAGACAACCCCCACTTTTCCAGCCCAAAATTAAAAAATCAATA